CCCCCCTCGCGGGTGCGACCCCCCTCGCGGGTGCGACCCCCCTCGGGGCTGCGACCCCCTCTCCCGGGTGCGACCCTCCTCGCGGGTGCGACCCTCCTCGCGGGTGCGACCCCCCTCGCGGGTGCGACCCCCCTCGGGGTTGCGACCCCCTTCGCGGGTGCGACCCCCCTCGCGGGTGCGACCCCCCTCGCGGATGCGACCCCCCTCCCGGGTGCGACCCCCCTCGGGGCTGCGACCCCCCTCGGGGCTGCGACCCCCCTCGCGGGTGCGACCCCCCTCGCGGGCTGCGACCCCCCTCGCGGGTGCGACCCCCCTCGGGGCTGCGACCCCCCTCGCGGGTGCGACCCCCCTCGCGGGTGCGACCCCCTCTCGCGGGTGCGACCCCCCTCGCGGGTGCGACCCCCCTCGCGGGTGCGACCCCCCTCGCGGGTGCGACCCCCCTCGGGGCTGCGACCCCCCTCGCGGGTGCGACCCCCCTCGGGGATGCGACCTCTTTCCCGGGTGCGACCCCCCTCGCGGGTGCCCTCGCGGGCGCGACCCCCCTCGGAGCTGCGACCCCCCTCGCGGGTGCGACCCCCCACCCCCCTCGCGGGTGCGACCCCCCTCGCGGGTGCGACCCCCCTCGCGGGTGCGACCTCCCTCGCGGGTGCGACCCCCCTCGGGGCTGCGACCCCCCTCCCGGGTGCGACCCCCCTCGGGTCCTGGGGTCTTGGGGTTCCGGGGGTCCAGGGGGGTCCTGGGTTCCTGGGGGTCATCGGGGTCGATTCGGGAGGTTCTGGGGTCATCGGGGTCCCGGAGTCCTGGCGGTCATCGGGGTCCTGGGGTCCGGACCGGAAGGGAAAGGGGTTCGGTTCGGTTCCCGTCGGTTCGGTTCAGGGGCCGCCCGGTTTCGGTTCGGTTCCGGTTCTGGTTCGGTTCGGTTCTCGCAGGTTCGGTTCTGAATGAATTCGGTTCGGTCCGGTTCGGTTTTCTACGTTCCTGGTTTTGGACCGGTTCGGTCCGGTTCGGTCACGGTTCTCGGTTCTCGGCTCGGTGCGGCCCCTTCATGAAATCGCTGGGCCGATTTTGCGGCCACCCAGGGCAGGGACCTTCATGCGGTTCGGCAGGAGGATGCTTTATTTATGGAGCGGCTTTCTAAGGCCACTCGTAAGCCCCTTGTTTGGATGGCTAGGCCTCACACTAGATATATGAGTGAAGCGGTGGCCCCAGGTCAGGACCGCTTTGAGCAGCGACGAAAGGCTCGGACGGCTGCTGCCGCTCGTGCCAAGGTCCCGCCCGATCCTGGGATGCAGCACGTTTTCTTTAAGTATAAGAATGGCTGGCGGTGCGCCTCCTGCTCTAAGACCATTCGGTCGGATAAGCAGAGACAGATATTCGCGCGTCGCCGCTGTCCTGCCCAGATAACTTTATGTGCGAGGATCCTTCAGAGTGCTTCTGACACGGCCTCCAGGGAGGCCTCCAGCACTGTGCACGTGCTGCCCGAGGATAGTCCCGAGGATAGTGACCCGCTTTTGGTCCCTGCCTCTCGCGACGGAGATGGGGGGGGGATGATGTTGTCTCCGCCGTCGCCTTCGTCGGGGGTGAGGCAGCTTCGCATTGTCCGCGCTCGCTTGGCTTCGCCTGTTGCCCGAAGGGTGAGAGCCAGGCTTCAGTTTCGATCTCAGAATTCTCAGCAGGGCATCGGTGTGCCAAATCACGATTTGGATGATATGATCGCCCAAGAGGCGCAGCTTCACGATGAGATCGGTCGGGGGGTTGAGTCTGGGCCGCCGTCGGAGTCGTGGGAGGGGGGATCCTTCAGTTTCGATGTTGATCGAGCTCAGTCTGCGAGGGCTCGAGCTCCCGTCGTTTCTCTGGGGCCTTCCTCTTCCTCCTCCGCCTTCGCTGCCTCCTCTGCTGCCGCTGCGAGTCCTGCTGCTGCGCGTGCTCGCCCTCTCTCCCCCTCCCCTGCCCGTGCGGTGCGGGCTCGCCTTTCCGCTCCTCCCCCTCGCGACAGAGGGAGAGGGGTCAGTTTTGCCCCCGCCGACGACGGCGCGCTGCACCAGGCGGCGCGCGACTTCCAGGCGCCCCCTCCTCCGCCCGACCCTCTTGTCGAGCGGCCCCCGAAGCTTCGACGTGCTTTGGGGCCTAGAGGAGGTTCTCGCGTTCCGAGTGTCATGCCGCGGTTTCCTCTTCCTGTGTCGGGAGATGTTTTACCCAGGAGCGCTCGTGGGCATGAGTTGCACGTCTCTCCTGGCCAGGTTGTAATCTGCTTATCGTGTGGGGCCATCAGCACGGGTGGTGCGTCTGCGATGCTTGATTTGTGCCCCCCTCTTCCATATAGTAAACGAGGGGCCTCCCATATTCATCGGTTCCAGACGAACCGACACCCTGCGGACTTGCGTCGTCGTGAGGCCATTTCAGGACAGAGGAGGCTCCAAGTTTCTGACCCCGAGGTGCACTGGCTGCAACTCGATTGATAAACTCGTTTATCTTTTCCAATTTGAGCTTCTAATTTTCCCAAGCTCGTTCGTCTGCCGCTCACCCCGCCGAGATCCTTTGGTGGGCATGGGTGAGCGCCTGTGCAGGCCAGGGGGAGGGCTTTGGTCTTCCCCCCGTTTTGAGTGGCCGTTTGCGCGCCGCGCGGCGGATCCCTCCCAGGCTGCGTACCCCCGCTCCTCCTCCCGCTCCCCTTGCCCGTTTTCTTCCTCCCGCGCCAGCGCCCTCCTGCTGCTCCTCCTCACCCTTTGCCTCCCCCTCGCTCTGGTCCTCTCCATTCGCTCCTCCCTCCCCCCATGTGCTCCGAGCCCTCCTCCGCTTCGACCCTTCTCAGAAGGCCCCTATCATGGCACCCCAAAAAGGAGTCGGAGATTGATGGACCTCCTACCCCGACACGTCGATTCGCGAATTGGCCGTTCTCGGTTCGCGAGAGGGCGTCGCGGCCGTCACTTTTGCAGGTCCAGGTCCGTCGGTTTTTGTCTCAGGCCGTTTTCACCAAAAGGAGGTTTCGGGGGCGGACAGAACCCCCACCAGTGACACGTCGATTAGTGAATTGTCCGTTTTCGGCTCTCGAGAGGGCGCCGCGGCCCTTATTTTGCCGGCTTGCGCCCGCCAGGTTTGGGCCTCAGGTCGTTTTCATTAAACCACGTTTTACTAAAGGGAGGTCTGTCCATCCCCGAGGTTTATCAACGGGAGTGTTGTCCACCGCCGAGGAATTTTTTTTGTGATAGTTCTGGACATGGTGCGCCCGGGCAAAGTGCAGCCGTGAGAGCCGAAGCATTCTCGATCACATGTTTTTTTCGCTCGGCGGGACTCAGAGTTCCGGTTGGCAATGTCTTGGCTTCAGTTCCTCACGACCTCTAGCAGCCTCGTTTAACCGACCCCATCCCCATTGGGCCACGGTGTTTCACATCCAACAGCCCACCCGCCCCATTTGGTGACAGGCCCCGCGAACCCTGGAGGGAGCAGCATAGTTCCCCATCTGTACGAGGGTAGATCGGTCAGTAGGACCAAGGGCCATGCAAGTAGGGATGGGGATCGGTTGAACGACGCGCATGAGAAAGCCGCCCCCCCCCCGCGACTCGCGCTGCCCTCCTGACGTCTTACTTGCTTCACTGCGTGGACCCCCAGCCAGAGGTCTTCACCCCTGCCATTCCGAGTCGTTTTTTGACTTCCTGGGGCCCAGTGAGGGCCCCTAGAGGCCGAAAACGGCATACAAACATGACCGTCCTGATGTCCACGACGCGAGCATGTCCATGACCCATGTGTCGACCAGCGTTGAAGCGACACCATCCCACCTACGCCCCGCCGTGTTGCCGTGCTGCACTGCTGCGATCTTGCCGCCCACTCGTTTCGGAGATGCCTCGGTCTCCGCTGTGGCATGTGAGGCTGCACGGGGAAGCGCCTAGAGGAGGGTGAGGAGGAGGAGGAGGAGGAGGAGGAGGAGGAGGAGGAGGATGGGAAGGAGGGGGAGGTTCGCGCGTCGTGTCGACCCCCAGAGGTCTGGACCCGTGTCCCAGGGCGGGCTTCTCATCTGGAGTGGTTTGTTGAGGATCCCGGGGCCTTGCATGGGCCCCCCCAGAGGTTGAAGATCGTGAAAAAATCCCTTCGTGATGACTCGATGGGAGTGCACGCTGCTACGCATGGAATGAGCACCACTGAGAACGGTCGACGATGAGGCGCTACGATGCCTCTTTTGATTTGAGCCGGCTATGATGCCCACTCGCGCCGACCCCGTCCCGTCTTCAGGGACTTCGCGTCCCTTTATGGTGTCGGGATGGAAGACCCGCGGCACTGCACGTACGGTGCCAGGGTCGTGGAGGAATGTGCCCCCGTCGCCCCTATGATGGAAGTTGCGAGTGCTGTGAGGCCTCATGGCGGTCCTCACTGGTACGCAAGGCCTTTGACGGCCCTCACTGGTTATGGGGGAGAAGGATGCCTGAGAAGGGCAGCGGGAGAAATTACAGCCTGAGAGGCATACCCGAGAAGGGCAGCCCAGAAGGATGCCCGAGAAGGGCAGGTGTCGTAGGTGGGCCGGTGCCGTCGGTGGGCCTCCGCCTCCGCCTCCGCCTCCGCCTCCGCCTCCTCCTCCTCCTCCTCCTCCTCCTCCTCCTCCTCCTCCTCCTCCTCCTCCTGCTCCTCCTCCTCTCGGGGAAGCGTAAGACCCGGGTTTGCCGGGACTCGGGTTCGCCATGGTTGTTTGACGACCGCGACTCGGATTTGACGAGGAGGAGTTTCGTGGGATGTCTGCAGCGGGAGGCCTCGTCAAAATGCAGGCTCGGCCTCGTCATTTGTTTGACGACCTCGTCGGGGATTTCCGAGTCCCCCGTACCCGGGTCTTACGTCTCCCCGATCCTCCCCTCCCTCCTCCTCCTCCTCCTCCTCCTCCTCCTCCTCCTCCTCCTCCTCCCTCCCCTCCTCCCCCTCCTCGCCCTCCTCCTCCTCCTCCTCCTCCTCCTCCTCCTCCCTCCTCCTCCTCTGGCCCGTGGCCCGCCGTGCTCGCGCCCTGCCCCGAGGAGCGCGCTGCGCGGGCCGAGCTGTGCGAGGTGCGCGCGCGGGAGGACTGCGAGGAGCTGCGGCGGCGGCTGGCCGCCGCGGGCTCCGGCGGCGGCGGCCCCGCGGGCTCGGCGGCAGGCGCCGGCCGCTCCCTCCCTCGCTCCTTCGCTCCTCGCTCCCTTCCCCTCTCCCTGCCTCCCTCCGCGCTCCCTCGTGCCCTCCTCCTCCTCCGCCTCCGCCTCCTGCTCCTCATCCTGCCCTTCCTGTCCCTCCTCCTCCTCCTCCTCCTCCTGCTCTTCAGGTCCTCGTGTCCCCCTTCCTCCTCGGCGGCAGCCGCGACGACGACGACGACGACGACGACGACGACGACGACGACGACGACGACGACGACGACGACGACGACGACGACGACGACGACGGCGACGGCGACGGCGACGGCGACGGCGACGGCGACGGCGACGGCGACGACGACGACGACGACGACGACGACGACCGACGTGGGCTAGCCGCCTCCCGTGGGTCCTGAGGGGGGGAGAGGGGGGCAGCGGCGGCGGGGGTCAGCGGCGGCGGGGGGAAGCGGCCGCGCCAGAGGGGGGCGGGACATGTTCGCCAAATTTTTCAATTTCCGCTCGGACCCCTTCAGTGCAAGCACTGACTGGGGAATGTAAACATGAAAACTCGGAGGTCCGCGCGGATTTCTCGGATCCGCGCTGGACCCCCCTCCCTGGCGCGCGGAGTGCGCCAGGGGCGGCGCTGGAGGCGCCACGGGGGGGACCCAGCGCCCATCCGAGGAATCCGCGCGGACCTCCGAATATCTTTCTTCGTTCCCCCAGAGGAGGCCTTCTCAGAAGGCGGCGGGACGTCGCCGAAGCCCTCGCGCCCTCTGAGCTGTTTCCCGTGCCCTCGCGGAAGTCTCAGAGGCAGGCTCCTCGGAAGTTCGGAGGGCTCCCGAGCCCTTCTGAGAAGGCCCGCCCCCATCTCTCAGGAGGGGGGACGAACAAACACAGACACAATGAATCGTCGAGTCCCCTGAAAGGATGGGAAAATCTGGGAAGTGGGGGGGAAGACAGAAACCCAGGAAATACTGGAACAGATCCGGAATTCTGTGATGTGTGCCTGTCTATTTGCGTGTCCCTGGGCCCCGTCAACCTCACTCCCCCCTCCCGGGGCGCGCCGCCGACAGAACTCAGACGTGTGCCCCCGCGCCGCGGCGGGAGCGCGACGAGGGCTCCTCTCTCGCCAGCCTGCGGCCTCGGGGGGGGGGCCTTCGGGACGGCCGGGGAGCGGCTCGGGACGCGGAGCCCGCCCTGGGGAGCGGGTCTCCGAGGGGGAAAATCACCACCCACCAAACCACCCCAACCCAACCCGAAGGCCTCCATTTGCCCTCCATTTCCAGTTGGGGGAGGTCGGGGAACACTGAAAAAAAACACACATGCAACCCGTACCCCCCCCAACCCGAAATTGGGGTCTTCGGGTTGGGTTGGGGTGGTCTGGTGGGTGGTCAGAAAAGGTACTTTCATCCCTGACCTTCCAGAGTGCCAGCAAGTAGCACTCCAGACCTATAAGCCTATCTGGTCTGCCTCAAACCTCGACAGGGATTAGGACGTCGGCGTCCTGGTGTTATTTTTTAGCTCTGCTGGAAGGTCAGGGTTTTTGGGCCTCCCGGGCCTCCTGGGGCTCCGTCGTCGCCACCGCTGGATTCGCCTCGAAATCCTGGGCAGAACGCACTCCAGGAGAGGTCCGGGGAGCAGCGGCATCGGTGCCTTTGGGTGTCCCCAGGGTCGGGATTTCCAGGGACCCCGTTTGGAACAGACCAAGACGTCGCTTATCTGGCGATCGTTGTCTCGTCCATTGTTTTGCCGATCGGCGCGGGCCCTCGCACTCCCCCTTCCCCCCGTCCCTTGGAGTAGATCTTGGCTGTTTTGGGCGCTTGGTTCGAGCAGGTGGAGCCTCTCCCCCCGCTGGACGCACGGTTCCAGACAGCGGCTCTGAGCCGGGGTCTTGAGCCAGACCGCCCTTCCCTCTCCTCTCCCCCCCCCCTTCGCCCAATGCCGAAACGCCGAATACGGAGACGTTCATACTTGGGGATGGTTTGAATCTGTGCCTTGCTCGCGTGCTGCAGTCTGCGAAGACTTTTTTGCGACCGGTCGGTTTCCAGGGCGTGTGCACCTCTCGAGGGCGTGGGCGTGCCGCGGGGGGCTGTTTGTCGCCCCGAGGGGCCGCCCGAGGCCAGAGGTATCGCCCAGGGACGATCGGAGAAGGGGCACGCAACGGGACTACTGGGTACAGAAGCAGGGGACCAGAGAAGGCCAGGATCCTCAAGATCATGCGCCAGGCCCGACTCTCCAGGGATTGACGGCGCCAAGCGGGCGATGGAGTATTACTATGAGCACGCCCACACAGGCGCACTCGAGCACGACAAAACATACAGGCAGGAGCAGAAGGGGCACCAGGGCAGGGCTCGTTTCGATGCCTCCGATTCGATCCGATTCGACTTCGATGGTTTCCGATTCCGATTCGATTCGGCTTTGGATTCCGATTGGGGCTCCGATTTCTCAGCGGAGGCCTGCTAGCCTGCCGGTTTCCGCCGATTCGATTTTTCCCGACTCGGCTGCCGATTTCCGCCGATCCGATTCTTTTCGATCGCCGATCCGACTTATCGATTCGATTCTGGGCTCCCCTGCCATGGCTGGACCTGAACGGTGTTTTTGGTGATTTCGTGGGCCGTTTTCGTTTCGGCTTCGCCTGCCTCGGGCACGGAGGCGCAGTCGGGGCCAGGAAGGGGCTCTGCTCCTCATTGTTTAGCGTTTTCCTCCAGCGGCCCGGCTCCTTATTCTCCTCCTTCAGTGTAGTCGAAGCAGTTGTGGTCCTCCCGTGGCGCTTTTGCTCGTCCGTTCTTTCGGATGCAACTCCTGGGAGGTCGAATTCTGATCTTGCCCTGGTCCGAAATCCTGCTTAATCTGGATTCATCCTGCGCAATCCCGCCTAATCCCGCTTAATCCGGCTTAGTCCCGCTTAGTCCGAGGCCCACTCTGGCGTAACAGCCCTCCCAATGGGGCTTAAGTTTAATCCTCCTCACTCCGTCCGACGAAAACCTCTTGCCTCCTGACGCCCTGGTTCTTTTTGCTCGACGCCGCGGGTGGGTCCGTGTCGAAAGGCGGGTCAGGATGGACCCCGTCGGCGGATGGAGGCGGCGCACGGGACAGATTGCAGGTGAGTGGAGCGGGGCGCGCGGGTGCTGCAAAGGGGGCGGAGGGGACGGAGGGGGAGGAGGGGGAGGAGGGGGAGGAGGAGGAGGAGGAGGAGGCGGAGGAGGAGGAGGAGGAGGAGGAAGAAGAAGAGGAGGAGAGGAGGAGGAAGAGGAGGAGGAGGAGGGATGGGAGGAGGGGGGAGGAGGAGGAGGAGGAGGAGGAGGAGGAGGAGGAGGAGGAGGAGGAGGAGGAGGAGGAGGAGGAGGAGGGAGGAGGGAGGCGGGAGGCAGAGGAAGGGCAGACGTGAGGGATGGTGCAAGCAGACGGTGTGGAGGAGGAGCAGCAGGAGGAGGAGGATGGGAGGGGGGTGGGGGGGGCTGTCGCTCTGGCCACTGCCAGGGTGCGGCGGGCCCAGGTGGCGTGGCAGAAAGGTTTAGGCCGCCCTGATGCCCCCTCCTCTCGCAAGTCTGCCCCCAGGGGTACGGCAGGCTCGCGTCGTGCCGACCGGCGGCGACCCCAGCGCGGGCGCTTCCGGTCGAACGCCGCCCGTGGCCCAGAATCGGCCCGTTTTTGAACGATCCAGCTGTTTCCACAGGGCCGATCGGTCAAGGTGGAACCATCCCCGCGGTGGCGGGAGCCAACGCCGGGGGCGGTACGACACGAGCCTGCCGCACCCGATCGGACCGCGCACCCCCACTGCCGGGTGAGAGAGGCCGGGCGCCGCCACTCCCGGGCCGTGGGGTCCCCGGGGGCCTGATGGGGCGGGACCCCATGCGGGGGCGGCCGACCACGGGCATCAACAAAACTGCCCGTGCCGGCTTCTGCTCACGACGCACGGGGGCCTGGGAGGTACCGTGGGGGCGCGCAGCAAGACGCCATTTGTTGTTCGTCGGGGTGTCCTGGGCTTCTTCGCTCGCCTCGCGCGGCGCGGTGACCTCCCGCAGTCGTTGACGGGAGCTGCTGCGTGCAGGGTGCTCCGGGTTTCCCCTCAGGTGCACATCGCGCACGGGTTCTCCGGGTTTGGTGTCTTGCGAGGGTTTCTTGCGGCCGCGCCCGCATTGTACGATTAACTGCCAAGGCATCCTCCTGCCTCGTGTCAGGCGACCGCAAACGCGGATCGAGGGGGCGTGGATTGGCGACGGGTCCCGTTTCCATGGGACAGCGCGGCTTTCCGCCGCCGAGCGAGGCAGTACGGGCCGCATTTGGGGGAGCTAAGCCATGTTTGCGCGCCCCCGACCGTTGCTTGCAGGCAAGAGACAGGAGGAGTGGAAGCCGCCGCCGCCGCCGCTGTCGGTGTCCGGCGCTGGCGCCGTCGGCGCCGCCGTCGCCGTCGTGGTTCCCGCCGTTGTCGTCGTCGCCGCTGGCGTCCGCCGCAGCTGCGGGCAAGATTTGCAACTTTCCATACTCGCTGCATCTTGGAGTTCCGTGCTCCCTTCCCCAGACACTCGAGGCGCAGTGTATATATATATATATATATGTGTGTGGGTAAGAGTCTCGACTCGAGAGGCTAGATGTGCATCCACATCGACTGCGCCTCGGCCTCTCGGCGCCTCCGGCCACAAAAGGCCTGCCTGCCCGCCGCAGGCGCCCCCGGCTCGCCGGCGCCGCCGGCGCCGGGGGCCGCCTGCCGCCTGCCCCCCGGCGCCGCCGCGGAGTACTACAGCACCACGCGGGGCGGCTGGGTCCCCGCTCGGAGCCCTGGCGGCGGCGGCGCGGGCGGCGACGATCGGGCTCCTCCTCCTCCTCCTCCTCTTCCTCCTCCTCCTCCTCCCTCCTCTCCTCCATCCTCCCTCTCCTCCTCCTCCTCCTCCTCTACTCCTCCTCCTCCTCCTCTACTCCTCCTCCTCCTCTCCTCCTCCTCCTCCTCTCCTCCTCCTCCTCCTCCTCCTCCTCCTCCTCCTCCTCCTCCTCCTCCTCCTCTACCCCTCCTCCTCCTCCTCCTCCTCCTCCTCAGCCGTGCGGAGGTCGAGGAGGAGGGTCGGGTCCGGCCGGGAGGCTGCGGTGGCGCAGGCTCGCGCCGGGAAGATCAGCTACGTGAGCTGATTCTCCAACCCCCCCTTTGCTATCCCCCCCTTTCGCCCGACCCGAGACGACAGCGCCGACGACGGCGGCGGCGGCGACGGCAGTGGCATCGGCGCCGACGCCGACGACGGCCGAGCCGAGGGGGTGGCTCCTTCTGGAGCTGGCCAGGAGTCCGGGGAGGCCCAGCAGTTGGGTTCGCGCGAGCAGGAGGGGTGGGGCAGGTTCGGGGATCTGTGCTCGGTAAGTTGTTGTGGCCTTGTCAGCGGCCCTTTCGGGCCTCAGGACCGTCAAAAACGGATCTGGGGCGAACCATTGCGCCAGATGGTCCCTGGGAGGGTTCTGGGGATTGATTTTGAGCAGATTTGGCTTCATCCCCCCTCCTGGCCGATTTTCTGGAGTCTCAAATAGGTCAGACCCCCCAGGCGCCTCCAACGAGGAACATAACATTATATAAACATACACTTTCGGAGGACCGCGCAGATTGTTTGGATTGGCGCTGGAGCCCCCAGGCGGCGCCTCTGGCGCTGCCCCTGTCGCGCTCCGCGCGCCAGGGAGGGGGTTCCAGCGCCAATCAAGAAAATCAGCGCGGAGCTCCGAAAGTCTATGTGTATGCCCTTTGTTTTTCTGTCTGCCTTTCATCATGGACATGACCCTTCCAAGTCCAGAATCCTTTTACATCCTTGCAATGCCGCCTTCTCGCATCAGTCTCCTTTCTCGCCGCGATAACTCGCAGTCGACCACAGAGGTCGCCCCCCCCCGCCCCACCACCAGGATAGAGGGCTTCGACGAGGCGAAGGGCATGTACGTGCTGGATATACAGCCGATGGCCCTCCCGGACAAGGTTCGGCGTGCGTTTTGCTTCGCGCTCATCCTCTTTCTTTGCCTCTTCCTCATCCTTCTTCCTCCCCGTCCTCTGCGTCCCCCTGGTCCCCCCTTCCCCTCATCCCCTCATCCCCCTCCTTCTTTTCTACCTACTCCCTCCTTCCCCGTCCTCCTTCGTCGTCCTCCCTCGTCACCCTCGTCCTCCATCCTCGACCTCGAACTTCTGTTCTCCTCCGCTTTCCTCCTCGACTCATACTTAATTTCATCTTGCACCGCTTCTTCATGCACTAGCGGGCTTCTTTGCTATTCCTGTATTATGTTGCCTTCCTTCTCCAGCGGAGGTTGCTCACGTAACGTATTTCTTCGTTTGCTCGAGTTGCGCTACGGCCACAGATCGCCTAAATTGGGGTCGCGAGAATAAAACAGGAGGCAATTCCCTCCTCCCCCCAAGGATGCTCAGCGTGAACTGTATACTGCTCGTTTCACTCAGCCGCCTCTGCCGTGGGGTGCACCCAACCACAGACGTGGCCTGGTGCCCACTGACGGCTGGGGCTGCTTGTTGCGTTCCTGCGAGGACTAGCAAGGTGATCAATCAATCCGGATGAGGCGGGAGGAGGAGGAGGGATGGAGGAAGGGAGAGGGGAGGGAAGAGGAGGCCGGGAGGCCGCATCAGATACAGTTGCTTCTCAGGACGTTCGCTCCGGGCCGCCCCCTGAGAGCCAGTGGGGACGCCTTGCCAACGTCCGCCGAGGAGAGGGAGGAAGGAGGAAGGGAGAAGGCAGGGCGAAGTTGGAGGAGGAGGAGGAGGAGGAGGAGGAGGAGGAAGGAGGTCGTCGTCGCAGGCAGGCGTGACACCAGGTGGGATCCGAGGCAGAGGAATTGGTCCGAGATCTGACGGGGGGAAGGAGGAAGAAAGGGAGTAGTCCAATCTCTGACGGGAGGACGGAGGAGGGATGAGGAATTGCAGCAGATATGATGAGGGTGAGGATGAGGATGAGGGTGATGATGTTGATGATAATGATGACGAACATGATGAGCAGGAGGAGGTTGAGTATGAGGATGAGGGTGATAATGCTGATGCTGACGATGATGATATTGATGAGGATGATGATGCGGATGACGATGATACCGATGATGTTCATGATGATACTGATGATGCAAATGCTGATGATTATGACACTGGAGGTGATGATGATGGTGGTGATGAGGAAGAGGAGGAGGAGAGCGATGAAGTTTGAAGATAAGCAGTGATGATGATGACGATGCGGATGAGAAAGTTGGTGCTGCTGATGATGATGCTAATGATGCCGCAGATGGAAGTGATGATGACGATGATGATGATGATGATGATTATGATGATGATGATGATGATGCTGCTGATGCTGATGCTGAGGCTGATGATGATGCTGATGATGATGATGGTGATGATGATGCTGACGCTGCTGATGATGATGCTGATGATGATGAAGATGCTGGTGCTGGTGTTGATGATGCTGATGCTGATGATGCTGCTGATGTTGGTGATGATGATGATGATGCTGCTGTTGATGATGATGATGATGATGATGATGACGATGGTGCTGATGATGCTGATGATGATGGTGCTGATGATGATGGTACTGATGATGCTGATGCTGATGCTGCTGATGCTGATGCTGATGATGATTACGTTGATGATGATGATGATGATGATGATGATGATGATGATGATGATGATGATGATGACGAGGAGGAGGAGGAGCATGATGATGATGGTGATGATACTGATGATGATTATGCTGATGATGATAATGATGATGATGATGATGATGATGATGATGATGATGATGATGATGATGATGATGATGATGATGATGATGCTGAGGAGGGAGAACTGGAGGAGGAGAAGGAGGAGGAGATGGAGAGGGGAAGAGGACCAGGATGAGGAGAGGAGGAGGAGGAGGAGGAGGAGGAGGAGGGAGGAGGAGGACGAGGACGAGGACGAGAAGGAGGAGGAGGAGGAGAGGAGGAGGAGGAGGAGGAGGAGGAGGAGGAGGAGGGGGAGGGGCAGGGGCAGGGGCAGGGGGGAGGGGGAGGCGGGGGGGGAAGGGAGAGGAGGAGGAGGAGGAGGAGGAGGAGGAGGAGGAGGAGGAGGAGGAGGAGGAGGAGGAGGAGGAGGAGGAGGAGGAGGAGAGGAGGGGGAGGAGGAGGAGCCAGGAAGAGGAGGAGGAGGAGGAGGAGGAGGAGGAGGAGGAGGAGGAGGAGGGAAGAGCAGGCTGGCATGAGGAGGAGAAGGCGAGGAGTTGGAGGAGGAGGAGGAGGAGAAGGAAGAAGTGGAGGAGGAGGCGGAGGAGGATGAGGAAGAGGAGGGGAGGAGGAAGAAGAAGAGGAGGAGGAGGAGGAGGAGGAGGAGGTGGAGCAGGAGGAGGAGGACGAGGAGGAGGATGAGCAGGAGGGAACATGGAGGAGCCCCCACCGACCACCTCCTCGTCCCCCCGCGCCCCGCCTCTTCCGCCCCTCCTCGCCCCTCCTCGTCCCTCTTCGCCCCCGCCTCCTCCGCCTTCCTCCCGCCGCCTCCCCAGGTCCGGGCAGGGCCTGCCGCGCCGCGGGCGGCTGCGGCGCGCCGGGAGCTCCACAAAGCACCGCGCGTCGGAGCCCCTCGTGGCGCCAGCGCGTCGGCGGTTTCGTGTTCGAGGTTCGAGGTTTTCGGGCGTCGCCATCCGTTCTTGGCGGGTTGCTGGCCTCGGTGTGCGTTCCATAGGCTGCGCCTCGCCGAGGGCGTTCCGCGGGGGCCGGGATCGTCCCGAACGGCCGCCGGAGGCCCGAATGATGGCCCAATAGTCAAACTCGGGGGCGCACCTTTGATCTAGGCTTCAGTCGGGCGTGTCGCCCTACAGGAGGAATTTTGCTCAGGCTCTACGGCGGGTGCCGCCGACCCTGAAGACGACGACGACGACGAATATGAGGTGGGGGAGGAGGAGGAGGATGAGGAGGAGGAGGAGGAGGACGAGGAAGAGGAGGAGGAGGAGGAGGAAGAGGAGGAGGAGGAGGAGGAGAGGGAGGAGGAGGAGGAGGGGGTTAAGGTGTAATGGGGGCAGGAGAAGGCGAATGAGATGTTCCCCGTGTGGGCCGAGGGAGTCGCAGCAGAGACAGACAGGGAGCCTTGTGGCCTGCGGCCCTTCCCGCCACCGTGCTGGGGTGGTGGTTGAAAGGCCTCGTGGATGGTTTCGGGCCTGTTGGGGCCTGTGTTGGGCCTCTTCGGGCGCTTTGAGGGGCTCTTGGGGTCTTTTGGGGGCTTCTTGGGGCGGGAAGCTAGGAAAAATGACGGTTTTTGGGCCGTCTTGGGGCCCTCTTGGGCTGTCTCGGGGCCTCTTGGGGGCCTCTTGGGCAGTCTTGGGCGGTCGTGGGGGCCTCTTAGGCCCAAACAGGTGAGAAAGTCAAAAACGGTGAAAAAATAATGAAAGCCGTGAAGGCGTCTTGGACAGATCGTTCGGCGATTCGGGGCACTCTTGGACCTTCTTGGGGGCCTCTTAGGGCACTCTTGGCGCGTCTTGGCGCTTTTTGGGGCTCCTGGACTCCTAGGGGCGGATGCGTATCTGACCCCCCCCCCTCCCCCCCGGGACCGCGAGCACGACCGATCGCAACCAGTTCGGACCGACCGTCAACCACTTCGGACCGATCGCAACCAGTTGCGGTCGGTCCGAAGTGGTTTCGATGTTGTAGGGTCGTTTCAATAAGGTTTCGATTAAGGAAGAGATCATAAGAACGCTTCTGGGTGCAGGGAGCTCCCTTAAGCCGCCCAATGGGAATATGAAAAAGCGTTTGCGATCGGTTCGATCATTGACGGCCGATCATGATATCAGCTAAACACATGTACTTGAGCTCGAACGTGGCCATGATCCGTATCCGGGTCCTATGAAGGGCGGGCAGGTTCGAGCTTCTGTGTTTGGGTCAATGCTGCTGCGTTTGTCGGCCTCTGGGAGCTGTTTTCGGGCCCCGGGACAGTGAAACACGGATCCAGGGTGAACATCTGGACCAAACGTACCTTGGGAGGGATCCAGGGGCCGATTCTGAACGGATTTGGTTTCACACACTTTCCTAACCGATTCTCTGGTGTCCTATTTCCAAGTCGTTTGGAGGTGGGACACCAGAGATGGTATCGGTGGGGTCGGTGAATCGCGCCGCATCGCCGATGCATCGCCGACACGGCTCGGTGCGGAGCCCGAGTTTCTCCACGCCGTCGGCGCCAGTGCATCGCCAGCGTCGCCGATGCATCGGCGAGGCGGCGCGATCTTCAGACCCCATCCATTGGATTGTTTTCGCCCTTGAGACGCCACCGCACTAAACTCATCTAGGCATACCCTAAATGACCGTACCCACAATTCAGGATGGAAAACAAACACACAGACACAAATCATCGTCGATTCCCCCGAAAATATGGGAAACGGGGGAACACAAACCCAGAACCTGTGGGAAACCATGGGGGGAATTGTTGGAGTTGTGCGTACTTATTCATGTGTCCTTGGGCTTTTTGAAACACGACCATGCCCAAACCGACTCATCCCGCCTCCTCCCCCCTCCTCGGAGTAGGAGGTGGGATGAGGGAGAAGGGAAGAGCGAAACGGAGCAGGGGCAAAAAGGAGGAAGAGGGGGAGGGAGGGAGGAGGAGGAGGAGGAGGAGGAGGAGGAGGAGGAGGAGGAGGAGGAGGAGGAGGAGGAGGAGGAGGAGGAGGAGGAGGAGGAGGAGGAGGAGGAGGAGGTGGGAGGAGGGAGGATGCTCAAGAGGCCCTGCAAGAAGCGAAGGTCCTTCCATCCTCCTCCTCCATTCTTCCTCCCTCCTCTCGAACCTCGGTCCTCGTTATTACCCCTGTCGGCTCGATCCTCCTCTCCGCCTTCTCCCCTATCAAGACGGAGGCAGAAGGGGGGAGGAGGGGGTTGCCATCGAAGCTGCGCTCCTCGAGCCTGGACGCTCCTCCTCTTTCCCTCGCGCGCCTCCTCATCCTCGTTTTTTTTCTCCTCCACCTCTTCCTCCTCCTCCTTCTATGTGCCCTCCCCCCGAATCTCTCACCTCTGTGCCCTCCCCCGCCCTCTCTCCTCCTCCCTCTCTGTGCCCTCCCCCGAATCTTGATCATCCTCCTCATCCTCCTCCTTCTCTTCTTCCTTCTCCAACAAGTCCATCGAACCTCTATCCTTCCCAATTCCCCTCCCCTCGACCCATGCCCGAGAATCAAAGGGCCGAGGGCTTCAGCTCCCTCCTCCCTCCTCGCCCTCCACGAGGGAAGGAGGAGGAGGAGAAGGAGGAGGAGGAAGAGGAGGAGGTTCGAGGATCGAGGTGCAATGGGGATGAATTTTTGGGGATTGGGAGGAGGATCGATGTTCGAGGTAGACCCTCCTACTCCCCATCAACCCTCTCCTCTCCTCACATCATCTTTTCCCATCGAAGCTTTGATCCTTGAGCCTTGGTCTCCTTCCTCACCTTAGTATTCCTCTCCTCCTCTTCCTCCTCCTCCTCTTTTGTGAATGGCATCCACCCGAAGGTTGGCGAGGCCCATCCCTTCCGCTCCCATGCAGGGTCCTAGTCACAGACGATGCTGTTCAGTGGCTGGGTCTGCTTTCCATATAGCCCGAGAGCCCGCGAGGGCTTCATTGTGTTTGTTTTCTGCGTGCTCGCTTGGCTTTCCAAGGCATGCCCAGAGAGTCGGGGGAACGTTTTCCGGTCACTTGGTGAATTGCTGTTTTTTTGTGACCCTCGTGAATTTCTTCCAGAGCAGATTGTGAGGTTTTATCCGTGGGACCTACTGTCACCGATGTGATGCTTGGGCTGGGCTTACAGTGCTCTGGCGTCTTGCATCGTTCGGTTTTCGATTGCGCTTGCTCTTCTTCTCCCGCCGCTCTGCTCCGTTCCGACCCTAAACGCGGTGCGTCGTTCTATGGGCTCGCGACTCCTCCCCCTCCTCCTCCTGCACACAGCTGAGGCAACGATTTAAAGGAGCAAATAACCCCATACCCACGATAATAATGTACCCCCCCTATACACATAAGAGTTGATTATCCACGGCCAATAAGAGTTTGGTCGGGGGTGCGGGGGCGCGGAGGCCGAACTTCATTATCACGGGGAAAAGTTCGCCATCAAGCGAAACAAGCAATGCTTTAGGAATCCTGTCGTTCTCTTCTCCTTCTCCTCTTCTCCTCCTCCTCCTCCCCCTCCTCTCTCTTTCTTCTCTCTTACCTCTCGTTCAATATGTTTGTCTACTTTCTTCTGTCTCTTTGTATCTCGTTCTGTCTGTCTTTCGTTATGTTTCTCTCTCTCTCTCTCTCTTTCTTTCTCCTCCTCCCCGTGGCCCCTGAACTCGTTTATCGATGTGCTTCATGATCCAAGGAAACCGAGGCAGGTGAGCTACCCTACACGAGCAGATGAAAATGCTAATTTTCATTAAGCGTTTGCAAATCAGATCGAATACGTTTTGAACTTTGGATTGTTGCTATCTCCTTCTCCTCTCCTCCTCCCTCCTCCTCCTCCTCTTCCTCCTCTACCTCTTCTTCTCTTTCTATATTTCGATTTATCTTTCTATGTCTCAAGCGAAACGAGAGATTAGTCGAGGATGTCTCAAGCGAGACAAGCCATTGTTGAGGATGTCTCAGGGAGGACAAAAAGCCAAGGATGTCTAAGCGAACTCCAGGACGTCGAGGACGAGGTCGAGGAGGGCGAGGAGGACGTCGAGGACGACGAGGGGGGCGAGGAGGACGTCGAGGGGAGAGGTGGATGTCGAGGAGGGCGAGGAGGACGAGGCGCACGGGGCCCTCCTCGGCGCCCCGAGGCCCCGGAGGGGGCCCGGGCCCCCGCCCTGCGCCCTGCGCCCCTGCCCCTGCGCGCCGCGCGCCTCCCCATCGGCATCGCTCGGGCGTGTGCAGTCAATTTTTTTTCTCGGCGAGGGCCATCGAGGAGCCTCCTTGGCCATCTGGCGAAAAAAACCAGGCGCGAAGCCAACAAAAAGCACAGGGCATGGACGTCCGAGCGGCATCGCTCGGGCGTGTGCACTTTTTTTCTTCTCGGCGAGGGCCATCGAGGAGCCTCCTTGGCCATCTGGCGAAAGAAACCACGCGCGAAACCAACAAAAAGCACAGGGCATGGACGTCCGAGCGGCATCGCTCGGGCGTGTGCACTTTTTTTCTTCTCGGCGAGGGCCATCGAGGAGCCTCCTTGGCCATCTGGCGAAAGAAACCACGCGCGAAACCAACAAAAAGCACAGGGCATGGACGTCCGAGCGGCATCGCTCGGGCGTGTGCACTTTTTTTCTTCTCGGCGAGGGCCATCGAGGAGCCTCCTTGGCCATCTGGCGAAAGAAACCACGCGCGAAACCAACAAAAAGCACAGGGCATGGACGTCCGAGTGGCATCGCTCGGACGTGTGCACTTTTTTTCTCTGCGAGGGCCATCGAGGAGCCTCCTTGGCCATCTGGCGAAAGAACCACGCACGAAGCCAACAAAAAACACAGGGCATGGACGTCCGAGTGGCATCGCACGGGCGTGTGCACTTTTTTTCTCGGCGAGGGCCATCGAGGAGCCTCCTTGGCCATCTGGCGAAAGAACCACGCACGAAACCAACCAAAAGCACAGG